AAGTAATGCTATTGCCTAAATGTCCACTAGAGGTTCAAAACACAGAGGCAAACAAGATCCAGTGGCATATGAGTCTATTAGCACCATCCCCAACCGAGGGATATCTATTTAGTTACCTCTTTTTTTTTTTTGTTAAAAGTAAAATATTTTGAATTCAAATCACATGACATGTGAGTAGGATAAGATAAGAGATGAAAAATAATTACCTTTTATTATATAATTAAGATAAAAAAAAAACATTAAAACCAAAATACTAATAGGCAATAGCTTTATATATAGAAAAATTTGGTGTAGCCACTTATTAATTAGAATATTAGTTTGACCCAGGTTTGTCTTTCTTTTGATACACAATATCTGTAGATAGATTTTTTTTTTTTTTTTGTACATTTGATAATTAATTAATGGTCGGTTTTACTGTTTAGCTAGGATTCAAGAAACAGTAATAATATAATTATAATATTATATAAAATTATAAATTTATAATTATAATATATTATTAAATAAATAAATATAATATTACAAATAAATTTATAAATATTATAAGGAGTTAATTATATGGTTACACGTGATATTGTAATTAAGAAAACAAAACTGTGTATATATATGTCTCATGAAGAAGATACATACGTGCCGTCATAGTGGACCTTAATTAGGCACACATTTTAAACTATTTTCTTAGTTTTACATGCATTCGTCCACGTAATAATTAAGATATGCACATGCATTATACGGCAAAAACTTGGGAATTTACAGAGAGCACATTGTAGTTGGAACTCCCCATCTTTAAGTGGACCTCAAATTTTTATGTGTATTAATCTGTGATGTTTTCCAAGACACCACGAGTATGTTCATTTGTTGAGTTCTTTCAACCTTCATGTCCATGTCTTGTTCTTCAATCTCCAAACATCTGCCTCTATCTCCGCTATCCCCATATAATTTTATTAATTTAATTAGTGCTTTTAGACTCTTGTTAAGTTATTAATTAGGGGTTGCGGTTTTTTAATCCGGATTGACAACCTTTTGACGTGAATGAATCTGCAAAGCATCCGCATTCAAGGGGTCTCATATTCACGTCTAAGGATTATAATTGTTTGAATTAAATATATATATATATATATATATTGTTTTTTGGCTAGTTTAGACTGAAATTCTCACGTACTTGTGAACATATTAATATATGTAAACATTGTTGAATAACAAAATTTTATATCAAGAATATAATAAAAAAATATGTAAATTAAATATTAAAAAAATTATTCAACTTATTATTAATTGATTTAAATTAATCATGTAAATTTTGTGTTTAAATTCACATGGTATCAAAGCCTATTACTTCAAATGGGTCCTCTTCCTTGATCCAATATAGCCGATGTGACACCCATAGGGTACATAGAAATGTGAAATTAGATAAAAACAATTAGTAAGAAATATTAATCTTTTAATTTTCTTGAGCATAACCTTCTCTTTCCCCTTTTGAAAACCCTAAAAATTTGTCCCAACTCAAGTTAAGAGGGAAGGAGAATGTCATAAAGATGAAAGGATCCACACTTGTTCGGCCTAGTCATTACAGAAATAATATTTGAGTATGAACATGTTTGAAATTTTATGTAAAAAAATTTGTTTTTTTTTTAAAGTACTTTTAAAATTTTATCAAATATTATCTAACTCTCTTATATATGATGATTTTATGTAAAATAATAAGAGAAATATTTTTAAAAGAATAAAAATGATCATCGAAGGCCTAAAAAAGAGAAGAGAGGGAGAGAAATGATCATAAAAAATGTATTCTAGAAACAACAAGATTTAAATCAATGATTTGTTGGTTCGAATGAAAAGAGCTTAATTTTTTTTAAATAAAGTTTTCAGTTTAAGTCTTATAGATGGTGATCAGGTACTGGGAGAGTTTTTTCATAATTCAGATCCAATGTAATTATTAAAAGGATAAAAAAAAAACAAAAACAAGAAGAAGAAGGTTTGGAGTTTCTTCTGCTCCAACATCTACAGGAGTTGAAAATGACTTTCGTAAGAATTAAAAGATGTTTTAAATATTTGTTTTTCACCCAGATTCAACTTCGCTATAGAGAATATTTTTTTTTTCTAAACAGTGACAGAAAGGCACACATTAAATGATAAGAGTAAAGTGCAATCATTGAAGAAGAAAATACTAAAGTTCCTGTTCACATAAAGGAATGACATCACTTTCATTTGTAGGATCTAATGCCCATCCGGGCCCTATCATCTCAGTGCCAATTGGATTTTTTGTCTATTCGATATATCTGTGAATGAATGGTTTTCAAAACCTACCCCTTTTCATGAGAGAGGGCTATCATTGTGGTTTTTTTCTTTTTGTATTGTCCCAATTCTATCCTGAACTTGGCCTGGACATGTGACCGTGGCACCCCTACAATTTTTAAGTTATACTAGCTTGATTCCTAAAGTGTATCACTAACTTAACAATTATTTAAATTAGATTTTATAATAATCTCAAAAGTTCAACTTAATAATTATTTGGATTAAACTCCACAAAGAGCTCAAAATTTTAAATTTAAGTTGTTTAACATAACACTCATATAATACCAGACACGATTACGCTTTTATCTCAACATGAGATTTTGGGGGGTACCACATGTATAGTAAGCTTCATTAATATAGTTATAGGTAGTCAATCAGATGATATCATAAACACTGCTGCCAATGGATGAAGTATTAGATTCATTTCGTACAGTGCTTTGAAGGTTTCATATAAGCTGTAATTTGTAACCACCAACTCGATTTAACTATTTGCACCCCCCAAAAAAAAAAAAATAATAATTGTTTAACTAGATCATCAATAGAGGGCGGAGTATAGGTGATGATATCAAACACCTGAAACTCAGACGTGCCCCCTCATTCCGGTGCTACCATCAACCTTGTTTATGTTCAGGTGATCATTTACTTCAATGATGCCTCCAAGGCATGAGCTATAGCACATAATTTGTGAAGGGAAAGAAATTATATTCCACTAATCTCATGTGAGTACTTATGCTACACCAAGGCATCCTTGGGGAAAATTCTGTGGACTCAAAATGAATCAACAACCAAAAATAAACCTCAAGAATTGCAAAATCCAACAATTACATTTTCAGAATTCTGACGTTCACCTTGATCCTTGAATATAATGCTCTTCTTTCCCTTCATAAACCATAGATTGTAGCCGCAAAAGCCCTTTTAAACATCTTGCATTAAAGGCCATAAAAAAAAATTTACCTTAATTGCTGGAAATGGGAGGTATTTGCAATGAAGGAATAAACTTGTGCATCAATTCAAGAAATAGCAAGAAGCAACTGGCATCTGAGAATAAAAGGTTGCAGAGACCCTTAGTTTCGATAACCAACTCCAAAGTGAAACCTCTTTGCTTGCCGGTCATTAAATGCATATTCAAGACGCAATGGCCCTAACGGTGAATCCACTCTGATGCCAAAGCCATATCCATATCCACTTCCAGGCTTTAGCCTTGCCCCAGCAGGATCACCTAATTAAATACATATACATATATATATATATATATATATATATATATATTAGAGAGAAAGGGGTGACGGCATGGAGTTAGATAAGTATGAACCTTTCGTTATAATATCAATTCCATATTGAACATCATCAACTTGAAGAGAATAAAAAACAAAACACTCCATTCTGTCCTTCCACCATTCTTCTTTTATTCACCATAAGAAAAAGCTAGAGTGAAAAAGGATTCAGAGATGAAAGACAAGAACCATACCAGGCACAGTTGAACCTGACCCAAGATCACTTCCATAATCTGCAAATATTACTCCTTCCACTGGGCCACCCTGGAAACAGCAAAGAACAAAATGATATAGGAGTGAACAATAAGAATCCTGTTCTACAAATTAAACCTAATTAGTAATTTTTTCGTTTTGAAAACATGGGCTTCTGATTAATCTATACACAGTTGAATTCTCAGTTAACTACTTAATGACCCATATAGGATAAACTACATTTCACAATCAAAAGACTCATTACTGATAATTGGCTTTTCAAGATAAGTATTATCCAGAGTATGCTTTGTTTCTGCATCTCCCATAATAACAATTATGCCATAGGAGTCGCTACTTTCTCAACTTCACAAATTTATGTGTTATAAGTCATGTCAGGTGGTTGACAGTTGCTATCAGAGATAAGCACCAGGGGTACATAGCAGAGCTTGAGAAAATCCTTCCACTAACTGGGTGAAACATCCTAAATAGATGCAGGAGAATGAAATACTCATGGAAAAGAAAACACAAGAGGCTCATTCAAGAAACGTGAGAAGACCTCTGGCCACTTACCACAGGGAAAGAAACTTCACCAGAGCCAACAACATAAGATCGACCAGAGCCTACAGCACCTTCTTCATAGCCTCTCACACTGTTTGTTCCACCAATAGCGAATGATTCATGAGGAGCAAAATTTCCTACCACGTGACCACCAGACAAACTAGGAACAAAAACCAATAACAAGTCAGCAAAGTAAACTGGAACTCTTCTTTAATCCCCCTCCCCCAAAACCGAGGATCCAGGTAGAAGCCTGCCTATCCAAGCTTGGAAAACTAGTTAAGAAAAGACATCAGGGTCTGTAGATTATTCTCCCAATTACATCATCAGAATTACCATATGTTGCACTGTTTATTGATTTGAGCAGCGAGAAACTGGTGCATTACCTTACAAGGAGACGGGCAGGACCAATTTCTATACCTGTTCTGCCACGAGCATTGACTCTATTGAAGAACAGCCACTCAGGAAAAACAGGAATTCCTTGTTCCATATTAAATGCAAACTGCAAGACACCAGAAATAACGATCATACATGTAATAAATGACAGAAGAAGCACAGATTTGAGATGCTAACCATTGAAGACCCTTGGTCACCAGAACCAGTATAGACACTCTCAAGTTTAAGCAGTAACATATTGTCATGAGTCTTACCACTACACAAGGAAAACAATATAGAGAGAATAACAGCATAAAAAAACATCAGTAACAACTAACAACAAATGCAGTGCCAAAGCAAACTTAAGCCTATATAACATCTTGCACCATAAATGCATACCTGGCAGTAACTGGGCTACCGAAGTAGTCCTTGATAATTGGATCGCCATTTTCATCACGAGCCCCAGAACGCTGGAAGATTGGGACAAAATTGTTAAAATAAATATTATGAAGAATCAAAGGTAATCTTGGCAATTATACAATGAAAACAACTGGGTCTATGTCCTAATAAAGTCAACTTCAAAGGGCAAACTAAACTAAGGCCACTAACTAAGTTGCCATTTACCAAAAAACAAAAAAGAAAGGAAAAAAAAAAAGACACAGAAATAAGGCACCCACTTTTCACAAATTTTCTTCAACGAAGCTCAGCTTAAAAGAAATGCACAACTTAAGCATGATTAAAGCATCTAAAATGGGACCCACACAGAAAACAAATAATACCACAGAAATGGATGTGAAGTGAGGAAAATGAAGAAAATATGGTACAAAATAATACAGTTGACTAGAATTTAGTTGTATGATAACATGTCACCATATCATGGAAAGCTAACATCAATTGTGAAGATGATTTCCACACCTTGTCCATACTGCCAATCTTCAAACATTACAATGTCTGCAAAAAGATAGTGCTGGGAAAAATTTTAGTGAAAACAAATTACCTGAAAAATGAGTCCCACTGTTGCACTCCATTTTGGTCTGATTGGTCGACTATATTCTAGACCAGCTGTCACTCGGCCAATAGTCAGACTGCTCTGGCCAGGCTCGTTTCCATGCACCAGTGTGCCAGGGGTTCTTGAATTCTGATTCAAAACATATCAGTTCAAAGAAAATTCAGTTTATAATCATGAGAAAATAGTAACATTTCATTATATATATTGCTAACCCTACCTGAACCATTATTGTTCTAGATGTCCGTTTGTCATCTCCTTCAATCCAAGGGACCGTGTAGTTTATGCGAAATATTGAGTCAATTTGGCCCCTCTCCAAGGAAATATTAAATTTTTGGTTTTTCCCAAAAACATTTCTATGAGAGTATGCAAAGCTGCAGCAGAAAGATTACTAAGATGAGGTAAAAAACATGAACAAATGCCCTCACACAAATATAGCACTATAGTACATTCATTTTTCCTCTAAAGTATTCTGGAAGAAAAAGAGATGATGCCACCACACAATGGTCAACCAATGGACTGACAAACAGGAAAACTAACCAAATATGAAGTCTGCAACCTTACCTACCAATGAGTCCTGATAAAGGGCCACTTGTAATCCTACAAAATAAAAAACAAAAACTAGTAAATAGTTTTGAGATATAAGTTAGCACGGACAGTGTCACCACTAGAATAAGCATCACTTACCCACTTGATATTCCACCACCAGCAGAAAAACCTCCACTTGGACGTTCAACAACATTCATTATCAAATCAACCTTACCAGTATCTATAACGTTGGAAAAAAAAAACAATAAATATAAACAAATTGATTAATTCATTAAACAGGTTGGATATTTGCAAAAGGAACTCACAACCAATTGTGCACATCTAAAGCATTAACAAGAAGGTGTTCACGAGAGACAAACTTGGGCATACAATGAAATAACATCATATATTGTTCTCACAAATAACAATAGACATTCCTAAAAGCAGTTTCATACATGTGAAATGTGTGTGTCTTTGTGTACAAGATGTATAAATATGTGTCATGCGTCTCTCACCTCCTGCTGGTTGGGGAATGATGCTAACATCTTCCATGATTCCCATAGTTAGCACAGTGTCCACGTCTCTTTTTCCCTGAATCATACTGTAAACCTGACGACCAACAAATTGGAATGTCATGACAGCATAATTTCAAGATATATCATGCTTCCCCTTGACCATTTTTAATCAGAATAGCACCTATAAATCATCATTACATCACTTTTTGTGTATGCACATAGACAAAATAAAGGTAAATACCTGCCCCTTTTTTGTCGTGAGCTGCCTGAGTATTGTTTCAGGCTTAGTCTTCCCTTTGGTTGGTTCACCACTAAGACAGAAGCAATGCATACATTAGTAATTTAGTAGATGCCCTACCACTAAATATTGTCAGAGTCTCTTTAAACATATTTTGTTTGCTTCAGCCTAAATATAATTATAAGCTACAGAATCCTTCCAACCAACAGAGCAGATCAAATGCAGGTTCTTACGTTTTTCTGTCAAGGAAACGTATGGAAATATTATTAACTTCTGCTTCAGCAACTTGTAATCTTATAATACCTCCAGAACGAAGCTCAACCCCAGAAACCTTCAGAGAATTCAAAATAAAATAAAATAAATAAAACTCTCATCACTAAACATCACCACAAATGCACTATTGATTAGAAACCAAATACCATACACATGCATAAACAAAACTAAGGAAATTATAACAGGTTAAGCACTACCAAGCCAAAGAGACCACGCTCCGTGTACCACCCATTGATGGAAGTCATTACTTCATCTAAACGCTTGAGATTAACTACCTTTCCTGCACAGCTTGACACCAAAATTGAAAATAAGGGGTTCCCCATGAGAACAATCCAAATGCAGCACATGAGCACATAATATTATAGACATGCGCTTCCACAATTAAGAACATTTAGAAGGCCTACCATATGCTTCACGAAAAGAATCCTGCAGGAACTTTGTAGGAAGAACATTAGCTCCCTCGCAAACTAACCCGTGAAACTCCTGATTTGGTTCTACCTTATGCCAAAAAGACCATCATTTAATCATTACTCTATATTGAATACATAATAACTGTGTATGTGTGCATGCATAAGATGCCTAAAAGAAGAAGACTATACTCTACTAACACACAATGGCAAGTACTTCAACCCTAACTCCATTCTTTTATGTATCTTAACTCTCAATTTTTTTTTTTTTTTTAAAGAATAATAGTAATCAACTCATACATGCCAGAGACCAATAGAAAACCTCAGTTTTACCTTTGCTTTATTGCATTTTAAATGCCTAACAATTTGTGCAGCACAAATGGCCCATGATTCAACTGAATGCACTTCTTACTATTAGCTAATATAACCACAATCAGTGTGCAACAATATTCCAATACCAAGTTAGACACTATTCTTTAGCACCATATACTGGGAAAAATGTAATCTTTAAATTAAAATTAAATTGAATGCGCAGAAATAACACACCTGAAAAACCAATCTGATTCCATCCCGTGTGTCAACAGCCACGGGCATACACGAGCAGAAGTAGCCGCTATCGATGATCCGGTGCACGTCCTCCTGAACCTCTCGGACTGTGAGTGCGGAGTTTGCCCGGCACGCCTTCAACGCCGTCAATGCTTCCATTTCCAGGTCCTTCCTCTCAAGCTCCTCGCCATCCTTGTTCCTCACTAGAACCTCACTAATCAGAACCCTCTCCTCCTGTCTACTAGAAGAAGGCCCCTTCTGCGGTACCTCCATAACAGATTGCGTCGCATCAGGGAAGCCAGCCAGACTCATCGATGTGGAACATAAAACAATTGATTTCTCAGTCGAGCCAATGCTGGAACGTTTGCTGCCATTAGCCCGAGTTACAATTGAACTGATGAGCTGAGTGAGAGAGTTACGAGTTCTGGCCAGTTGCGAAGCTAGGGCTTGCGGAAGTGATGGCTTTGGCGAGAAGAAGGGGATTTTGAGGGAAGACGAAGCGAACCGAACGCCTTCATGAGTTCTGGTCAGTTGCGGAACTAGGGTTTGCGAGGGAGAGGGCTTTGGAGAGAAGACGGGGATCTTGAGGGAAGACGAAGTGAACTGAACGCCTTCGTTTCGCTGCATTTTCAGGCGTCGGAATATCTAGGGTTTTCCCGTCGCAGCTCGCCGGAAAGAGAAGTGAAACGTCCGCAGAATCCAATAGAACTAGGGAGAAGCGGCGCTGGCGGTTGTCGTTTTACAGCTTTCGAGTTTTGTGTTTCGTATGGGCCACCGATAATGGGCCTACTAATAAGATCCAAAGAAGAGGAAAACATTTTAAAAGCCCATTCAAGACTCAACGCTACGGCCCTATTTAGTATTTAGGAGAGGTCCAAGCCCACTTCACAGTTCAGACCAACAATGCAAAGACCCAACCCAACCCAACTTATTTTCAGTTTTTTTTTTTTTTTTCATTTTTTTCTTTTGGTTTGATAAATTGATTCTTTCTCCTTCCTTCTGACATGAGGTTCATAAATTCAACAGCTCTAAATTGTACATGTAATTTTTGCAACTCTAGACATTGCCTTAGAAGTGGTAAATGCAATCTCATGAAGTGACCCAACTGAAGGTTTCTTGTCCTATATCAAAGAGGGTTTGGTTTCAGTCACTTCGAAGCTCTATTCTTCTTTTCTTTGATGTATAAGGTGCTTCTAAATTAGTTTTTGTAGATTTTAAAATTAAATTATTCTTAAACAATTTTAACAAGCACCTTCACATTAATTTTAATAAATTCAAAAGAATTAATTTTTCTTATATGTTGTATTTGAAATTCAAAATTTTGATATAATTTATAAGATAATAGTTGCTTATTGATAGATAAATCCTCAAAGTCTCTATTTCTCTTGATGATATGGTTGAATGAAATAGAACGGAAGAATTTTTATTGGGGATAGATATTCTAAAATTGTAATAGAAGTTAAGGAGAGAACAAATAAAGGACATCTTTGAAATTGAATAGGTTAATTATCCTTTTTGGTCCCTTTATTATAGGAAAAAGTCACTTTTTAGTCCTTGTACTGAAAAAATTCCCTTTTTGATCCTTATTGTTTGAAATCCGATCCCTTTTTAGTCTCTCTATTAAATTTTCACTAATGTGGCAGGATAATGAACAGAAAAACTTATTTTTTTTCTTTACTTAAATTACGTTGAAAATCCATCTGTAAAAATTGATGACATGGCAAAATTTTTTGTCTAATATAACCTAAACAATCATTTAATTACATAATTACTATTATAAATATTTTAAAGGTTATTTTGTGAGACTTTAATTATTAATTTACCCTCATCTTCTTCCCCCTTTTGTCTCATCCTCTCCTTCCTTAGTAATTAAAGTCTCACAAAATAACCTTTAAAATATTTATAATGGTAATTATGTAATTAAATGATTGTTTAATTTATATTAGACAAAAAATTTTGTCATGTTATCAATTTTTACAAATGGATTTTCCACATAATTTAAGTAAAGAAAAAAATAAGTTTTTTCATTAATTAACTTGTCACATCAATCAAAATTTAATGAAAGAGCTAAAAAGGGATCGGATTTCAAATAGTAAAGACCAAAAAGAAGATTTTTTCAGTATAAGCACTAAAAAAGGGCTTTTTCCTATGATAAAGGACGAAAAAAAGTATTTAACCAATTTAATAAAACTTTAATGTCAAAAAGGAAAATTTCCCCTTTTTGTGGGACTGCGTCTGCCCACTAACTTTTTCCCTATTGTAACTTTATATCCAGTGATCAAAGATAAAATCAAAGACTTTAAAGTCCTACCACACTCCTATTTGGTTGAATGAAGTGTCTATTTTTTTAGTCAAATCAAACCAACTTAGAAATAATTTACCAAAAAAAAAAAAAAAAACTAATTAGAAAGAGCATGACCTATTAGAAAAGGCATTTTCTTACTTATATTATTTTTCTTCCAACAATAAAAAAACAATGTGATAATAACTTATAACAATTTTTTTAAAACAAATTTAGTTATTTATTTTTAACTCACGCTTTGTTGTAAAAAAAATTTGTTAAAATTAAGGAACAAACATCCCTTCTATGGTTGGCCCAAAAAAAGTTCCCTTCCATTATTTTTAAAAAAATTTTTATCGAGCATCTTGTCTTGGTTAAAAAAAATAAAAAGAGTGGTGGATGGGATAAACCACGGCTAAAGCACAAAAAATGTCACTAGAGATTCAGAAGAATAATTGTCGGGCCGACCGAATATATCCCTATATAGTGCTTTTCTTTGCTGGTGATAAAGAAAGGGCAAGGAGAGAAAAGTGTGGAGTTGAAAAAGAAAAGCAATAAAGAAGCAAGGGTTCACCTAAAGTTGGGAGTAATTTAATGCATGTGCCATCAAAATGGCCATGAAAAGCATCACCCCCTTTACAAGATGCCCAAACACATGCACAGTTGCCCCAAACTCCTTAGTGGAAAACTTGAATTGATGACCTATAGGACACAAATCTCCCTGCATGCCCCAAACAACAACAATACAACATCAACATGATCCCATATTTTTAGCGGTCCAACCAACATGCTACCAATTGAAATCTTTCTTTATTTTCACAAGTGAAAAAAATTAATTAATAAATCCAATTTCAAGTAATGCTATTGCCTAAATGTCCACTAGAGGTTCAAAACACAGAGGCAAACAAGATCCAGTGGCATATGAGTCTATTAGCACCATCCCCAACCAAGGGATATCTATTTAGTTACCTCTTTTTTTTTTTTTTTTTGGTACTAATTTTCTGGTATCCAAAAACCATGTTGGGCCTTGATTAATTCGGAATCGAATCAGGTTGGATCTCATATTGGAGAGAGCTCTCTCAACACCTTTTTTTTTATTCACAAGACTCAAACTCGAAATCTTACTTAAAGGGAACCGAACTTTTTTCACTCAGATTAATATGTTGTTGGTGTTATTTAATATTTGGTTACCTAGTATTGATCAATTTTTAATTGAAATCTTCATCGACCCTTCAACTTAAAGAGTTTCAATTGCTAGATAATGAAGATTCTTTTGTAAAGTTTGTAATTTTGATATAAATAGTGTGTCTTTTACTAATCAAGAAAATGAACTTAAAAGAGAAAGTTGAATTTGTAACAGATTAAAAAAAGAAAGAAACAGATGCAGTAAGAAAAGGGATGTTCTCATGAATTCATGATTCGTTGATCTCATGGAGTTTAAACTAATTTAAAGTGTAAGCATTTTTAATTATGGAAACTAAAGCACAAAATACATGGGTGCAGCTAATCATGTTGTTATGATTCATTCTCATGGAAAAAAGCACTTTTTCTTGTTTTATTCATAGAAATTTATTTAAACTTATCATAACACTTTAGTACAATAAAATTTTTATGTAAAATGATAAAAGCATATTATTTTATAATTTAAATTATAAAATATTAATCATTGAATAAAAAGTTCTTATACGTTATCAAAGGACCTCTTATCATTTATTGACTTATGTTTTATAATCTAGTGAAATTCATATTGTACATTGTAATTAACTTATTTCACTTAATAATGAATCAATATACATCCATTTATTTTATGCGAACATTATAAAAATAAAATTTTATGGTGAGAAGTGTGTAATTCAACTCTCTATTTTAATTATTCATTTATCCGGTGCACCAAAGTTTGTCTTTTATTGAAAGAAAAATTCAAATTCTAAGCCTATCTATTACCTTCACTGGAAGCAAATTGGCGACAAAAATTCAATTTAAACATAAATAGGATGAAATGAAATATCATCATTATGAATGCCCCTATTTTTAAAAAATAAAAAAATGGTACTTGACCAATAAATTTTTTTTTTGTTTCGGTACATTTAATTATGGATTATATAAAAAAAATATTCCTTCCAATTTTTTTTTTCAAATCCACTTAATTCAAAATTTTAATTTAAGATTTTCAACTTGGGATATTAGATTCTTAACTAGTTAACTCATTTCTTTAAAGACATCAAGGCTTAGTGTTGCTACAAAATGTAGTTAATATTGTTCATAATTGTTATACTAATGATGTGTTCGGAATTGCGATTCTGAGTTTTTTCTTGAGGTCGTATAGTACTTTCAAATATATGTGTGTTTGGTAATTCTTTTAATTATTTTTTTCAAAAATTGTAGAAAGTTATAGTTGATTTATAGTAATTTTATATATAAAGCTAAAACGCTTATTTTGGTGTTTTCTTATTATGGCTTTCACAAATAATATCTAATATTTAATAGAATTGCAAAATTACCCATAAAAATTCAATCTTGTTTAATTCAATTACATCATAATTTATAACATTTTATTTAAACTAAACCTCTCATTTATTTAAAGATTTCATAGAAAATTAAAAACTTCTTCCTCATTGTAAGTTATTTTCTTGCCAAACTCAAAAAAAACACTTATCAAAAGAAACCTAAAAACCCAAATTATTAAGAAGTAGTAAATGTTATCTATTTTAGTAATTATACATCATATAATATTTTTTTAAATTTTAATTAATTAATAAATTTTATCATGTTTCATTTATAATACTTCTCAAAAATAAATAATTAAATATCAAAATAACTTTCAATTAAAATATAATACAATTTAGCACAACCATAATTATAACTATAGTCATAGGATATTACAGGCGTTACAACAATCTTAAATGCACCTTAAGTCATTTACATTTCGAAAAAGTGAAGTGTCGGACTTATCCTTTAATCAATGATTATAAAGTGTAATTTATATAAGACAGACCGCAAAACAACATTCTCTTTATATTTTATGTAAAAGAAAAGAAAAACTACCCAAACATTAGAAGATACAGTTCTCTCAAAAACGATAGGAAAGAGACATTTGTTTTTCTAATAAAAGGAAAAGTAATTAAAGAATTTACTATTAACCATGGATTTTTTTTTTTTTATCCTACTGAGAAATTAAGCTTAAGTATTAACAGGTAGTTATCATGGTGGGAAATCTAAGATAAGACGTTGAGATTCAAAAATTCAAAAAGGTTCCAACCTAGAAATACCACAACCCTTCCGGTTGCTTCCCCTCAGAATGGAGCATTCTGGCCCCCCTTTCTCCCATCCCCAACCTCCCACCCCCTGATCAAAACCCTAATATCTTTCAGTATCCTGTTCCAATGAAGACCTTAATCGTCTCTTACTTCCACCGTTCCCCTTTTTTTGCAGTAAAGCCTCAGCCTTTTTCTCCCCCCAGTTATAAGCCTTAATCGTTTCCCCCACCGCCCCACTTTCCTAATTTGTTTCTGCCTTTACATCTGGTCAGTTTCTACCATTTCGAGTTCAAACATTCATCTGGGTGTGGCTTGATTTTATTGGCGTTTGATATTGGTTCTTTTGGGTGCGGCCTGTTGTTCAATTCAGAGTTAACTTTATTTTTTTGTGCCTGTTGGGGACACGAAAAATGGGTCCTAATGGGATGGAAGATCTTAAGAATCCTTTATTACAGTCCCCAGATTCTATTGCAATCACCATACCTGAATCTGTTGATAAAAGGACTCGGACGGTCATGCTCAAAATAGGCAATATCAAGTGTGCATCTTGTGCCACCTCCATAGAATCTGTGTTAAGAGGGCTTAATGGTGTCAAGAATGTTACAGTGTCTCCACTTCGAGGTCAAGCTGCAATTCAATATATTCAGAAGGTCATCACAGTAAGTGGTGCTTATTAGAGCTTAATTTCTGTTACTCTGTTGAGTGCTTTTAAGTGTCATGTTCTCTGGTTTTCTTGATTGTAACTTATATGTGTTTCTGTTTTGTTGGAGATTGGAGAATTTACTGTTGGATTCTATTGTAGGCAAAAAAGTTAAAAGAAACCATAGAGAATGCAGGTTTTCCAGTCCATGAGGTTCCAGAGCAAGAAATAGTTGTATGCCGTTTGCGAATTAAAGGAATGGTTTGCACCAGTTGCTCTGAGGCTGTTGAACGTGCCCTTCAAATGGTTAACGGGGTGAAAAAAGCAGTGGTTGGTCTAGCTCTTGACGAAGCTAAGGTTCACTTTGATCCAAACCTTGTTGATACTGATGACATCATTGATGCAGTAAAAGATGCTGGATTTGGAGCTGATCTTATTAGCTCTGGAAATGATGAGAACAAAGTGCATCTAAAGCTTGATGGAGTTAATTCTTTGGACGACGTGAAAACTATTCAATCTTCCCTTGAGTCGTTTCACGGTGTGAATCATGTAGAAATGGAGCTGGTAGAAAATAAGGTAACAGTTACCTATGACCCAGACCTCACTGGTCCAAGAACTCTCATGCATTGCATACAAGAAGCTGGTGGTTGCTCCAAATCCTACCAGGCCGTCTTGTATGTATCACCGAGTAGAAGAGAAACAGAGAGGCAGCATGAAATTAAGATGTACAGAAATGAGTTCTTGTTCAGCTGCCTGTTTTCAGTTCCAGTGTTTATATTCTCCATGGTGCTTCCAATGCTTCCTCCTCTTGGGGACTGGTTAGAATACAAGATATACAACATGCTCACAATTGGTGTGCTTCTAAGGTGGATTCTTTGCACACCAGTGCAGTTTGTCACTGGTAGAAGGTAACTGGTTTCTTCTTCTTCTTCCTCTTTTTTTTTTTCTGAAAAGTAATGTTTATCTGGATTATTTATGTCCATGCAATAATAAATTTATCTTTGGATGCTTTTGTCAGATTTTATGTGGGATCATACCATGCACTGAGACGAAGATATGCTAATATGGATGTTTTAGTTGCGATGGGCACAAATGCTGCATATTTTTACTCTGTATATGTAGCAATTAAAGCATTCATTTCAGATACATTTGAAGGGGAAGACTTTTTTGAGACCAGCGCAATGTTGATATCCTTTATTCTCTTCGGCAAATATTTGGAGGTTATAGCTAAAGGAAGGACTTCGGAGGCTTTAGCCAAGCTCACAGACCTTGCTCCTGATATGGCTCATTTGTTAACACTCGATAGTAATGGAAATGTCATCTCTGAGACAGAAATTAGCACTCAACTGATACAAAGGAATGACATTATTAAGATTGTTCCTGGGGAAAAAGTTCCTGTAGATGGGATTGTCACTGATGGTCAAAGCTATGTAAATGAGAGTATGATAACTGGAGAGGCAAGGCCAATTGCTAAAAAACCTGGTGACAAGGTATGCTATATTTGCCTTTTTCCTTCCATTATATATCTTGTTTCATGAAGATGGTTAACAATTCTTTTGAAAACATATGAATAGGTTATTGGTGGAACAGTGAATGAGAATGGATGCTTATTGGTTAAGGCCACTCATGTTGGGTCAGAGACTGCACTTTCTCAAATTGTTCAACTTGTTGAAGCTGCTCAGCTTGCTCGGGCTCCTGTACAGAAACTTGCTGACAAGATTTCGAAGTTTTTTGTTCCAGCAGTGAGTTTTTTGTTTCCTTGTATCAAGTTTCCACACTATATTGTTCTTACCAGTTTTTCACCAAAGTTGAAAGATTTCTTTTCTTCTTCTCTTTCTTTAGTTGAAAGATTCTTTCCTTGCTTTTTGTTTTCATTTCATTGGATACTTGCTGTTTTGGCATCCTGCTGACAATGATAAAATCAACTTTTAATATCCAGTTGGATTTGTTATAAAGTTTGAACTTTGAAGTCAATTATGGATAAAGAACTTGATAAACTAATTCTTGCTAATTATGGTACTAGATCTAGCCTACTATTTGGAGTTCTGCAAATTATGGCATCTAACCATTTTTTTAGTCTGTCCTTAATGTTTTTTTGCGAGTGGAGGAGAATGAAGAGCATCTTGCAAGTCATTTTTTTACCTGATTTTAACAAAAAAATGCATCACCCTGTCCTTGCATTGTGATTTCTATTGGTTAAATTCTGTTTGATAAAAACTGCTCATGGATTACTGTTTTTTGTTTTTTCATATCCAGGTTGTTTTAGCCGCACTCATAACATGGATGGGATGGTTTATCCCTGGTGTTCTTGGCCTTTATCCTAGACACTGGATTCCAAGAGGCATGGATAGATTTGAACTTGCACTACAATTTGGTATTTCAGTGCTAGTCGTTGCTTGCCCTTGTGCTTTAGGACTTGCGACTCCTACAGCAGTAATGGTTGCAACTGGAAAGGGTGCCTCGCTAGGTGTTCTCATCAAGGGTGGAGATGCACTTGAGAAAGCACATAAGGTAATTAATGTATCTGTTAACAGTTTTTGTCTTAACCACTCTGTTAATAATTTGGAAAGGAAACAAAGTAATGCAATGGAGAAAAGTCTTCTATTCACTACTCTGGATTTATTCACTACAGGGAATTTTCTTGTTGTGCTAATTAATTTTCGTGCATTTCATTAAACATTTTTATCAGTGTGACATGGCTTCTATTGTTCCACCATTTACCACCTGTTACTGGATTTATGACAAGAACCACCTTTCCCCCTACCCTACAGGTGAAAACAATTGTGTTTGATAAGACTGGAACACTGACAGTTGGGAAGCCAAAAGTTGTAAGTGTAATGCTCTTTTCAAGTATATCTATGGAAGATTTCTGCAATGTGGCTACCGCTGCTGAGGTAAGAGTGTAATAATTTTGGTTATACAAGAAAAGGAAAAAAAAAAAAAAGGGATTTAAGTGTTGCTCCACAGCAATGTTAATCCAGAAGTTTCCTTAAATAACAGAAGAAAAATGAAAAGTAAATAGAAAAAGGAATAAAGAGATGACATTTTTTGTAAGAACCAAAGGGCTTGAAATTGGTGAACAATGATACACTTTGTTTTCAACTTGTTAATTCTTGAACTTAAATGGAAAGCCAATGTTCTATTAGAAGTTACTAAATACTAGACTGTAAAGTTAAAGGATAAGAATCTAGTTACTTTCTGTTCTTTAATGTTCAGGCAAATAGTGAACATCCTATAGCAAAAGCTGTAGTTGAGCATGGAAGAAAATTGGGTCAGTCGTCTGGATCAAATGCTCAGTTTTTTGAAGGAGCTAAGGACTTTGAGGTGCATGCTGGAGCTGGGGTGACTGCAAAAGTTGGGGACAAAATGGTCTTGGTTGGGAACAAAAGGCTAATGCAGACTTATAATATTCCTGTTTGTTATGAGGTTGAGAACTATATTTCAGAGAACGAGCAGCTTGCTCGAACATGCGTGCTAGTTGCCATTGACGGAAAGGTTGCTGGAGCTCTTGCTGTAACGGATCCAGTGAAGCCAGAAGCTATGCGTGTAATATCTTATCTCCATTCAATGGGAATCTCAAGCATCATGGTAACAGGTGATAATTGGGCTACTGCAGGTGCCATAGCAAAGGAAGTTGGAATAGAGAAGGTGGTTGCTGAAACAGATCCACTTGGAAAAGCAGAAAGGATCAAAGATTTACAGGTACTCTTATTTTAATATTGTTAGCAAATAGCAATTCCACTGCACAATAATATGATCAATTATAAGCTCTTGGTAATTTGTTGACAAATATCCATGCAGATGAAAGGGAACAAAGTTGCTATGGTGGGGGATGGAATAAATGACTCACCTGCTCTTGTTGCTGCTGATGTTGGCATAGCAATCGGTGCTGGTACTGATGTGGCCATAGAGGCAGCTGATGTAGTTCTTATCAAAAGCAACCTGGAAGATGTAATCACAGCAATAGATCTCTCTAGAAAGACCATTTCTCGTATTCATCTAAACTACGTTTGGGCCCTTGGTTATAACATACTTGGTTTGCCAGTTGCTGCTGGAATCTTGTACCCTTTTACTGGTATTCGTTTACCACCTTGGCTTGCTGGTGCTTGCATGGCTGCCTCCTCTGTCAGCGTAGTTTGCTCTTCTCTCTTGTTGCAGTCGTATAAGAAGCCTCTGCAAAGTTCATCAAGATAATGAAGAACAAGCTCCCCAACCCACATTGACCTAACTGCTCATAGCTTGGTAGTCTTCAGCTAATCTCACAGCAAGTAGCTATGTACATACACATGCAGAAGGTCTTTTAACTCCCATTCTTTTCACTAAACTTTCAAAGATGATTCCTTGAAAGATTACTACGTTTAAGTTGCATCCCTTAGAAAATTGAATTGCCATTTAATAGTAACAATTAAATAGTGGTTCTGAATAATTGTATGTGTCGGTGGCAAGAAATGTACATCAGGGATTTTTCTTTATGAAAGAATTAGTGTATTTGCAATTTCCAGCACTGTCCTAAATGGCGAAATCTGTTTGTTGGTTCAGATGCTTTCCTCTTTTATAGTAGGTGTTTAAATCCAAATCTTATCGTGAAATTGTCATAATGTATTTTCACGTGGTGTATGCATTGCATACTTCCATGTTTAATGAAAAATAGTAAAAGGGTAGCATCTACCTAGAACATTAATTTTTTTTTTTTGAACAATATTGTTATGAGGCGAGTTAGAACCCGTCCAAAAAGAAAAGGGGATGCACCTCAAAGTGATCAAAAGTCATTTGACTATTCGGGCTAGATGTTACCTAAAACATCAATTGATTATAAATTTTTATAAAAATTACATTTTTATTTTAAGTGTTGAGTTTAAATCCGCTTTCAAAAATTTATATTTGTTCAAAAATAAAAAATAAAAAGTTAAAGTACATTTTAATCCACTTAAAAATAAAAGACGCATTTCAGTCCCTTACTAAAAAATTAGTCACTGTCCTCCTCTTAATGTTTAAAACTACAAAAAATACATTTTTAATAAATGTTTTTAAAAATATATTTTTTATTTTAAAAATAAAAATATTATAGTTAAAATATACATAGCAGTATTAAAAACTTATAACATTTTATATTATTAAGTAATTAATTTTTTATTTAAATATTTATTTATAATATTATATAAATTTATTCATTTAATATCATAATATTATTATTATTATTATTATTATAAATTAATAATCCTAATATTATCCAAATATAAAAATACTTTTCATTTAGATTTAGATAAACTTTTAAAAAGAAATGTAACTAATGTCAACCTCGAGTAACTTTTCAGCTCATCAGCTTTCACCTATTTCATCCTCAATTACATAAAGGAAAAAAAAAAGGTACATTCTTTTTTTATATGCTATTCCCTCACCAGCTGTTACATAGGTTTTCTTTTCAACGACCAATAATATGTGAATAGCTTGCTTTTAATGAGGTATTATTCCCTCTCCGGTATCCTAGGATCCACGCCGAAGCTGAATGCAACGCAAGTCATTCACTCTGAAGCTCGTTTGAGATAATTCTCAATTTCCCACTCTTTTCGTTGATCAACAAAGGTAACCTTTCGAAGGTACAAAATGATAATCTGTTATTAGATTTTCCTTGTATTTTCAGAATTTTCTAGTAATCGTCAAAGTGTTGAAGCTGTTGCTTGTTTCATGTGTCTCCCCATGTTAAAAATTGCATATTGGAAGATGTCTGGGTTACTGATGAGTTGTGTTGCATCTGGTTTTAACTGGGTTTTATAAAATTTTCAGTTTTGTACTTGCCCTTTTCTTTGATTGCCAAAAAAATGGGAGGAAGTGAAAAGAAAGTATGTTGTGGATTATCAGCAATTTGTGGCTGTTTTATTCCTATTAATAGAAAGTATATGACTGAATCAAGGTTTTTGATGAAGGGTTTCTTTTTAAATGAATATTGAAGTGGTAAGTAAAGGTTGGGATTTTTACTTGGTTTTCTGTTCTGAAATTTCTCAGCTACCAAGCTGTATATTTGGGGTTTGGACCTTAGAGTTGATGGAGAATTTGGGTTCAGGAGGAGGGTTTTTGTCAGGTACAAGTGAGAGGTTGTTAGACCTTGAGTCTTCAATTCACAGACAGCAGCAGTCCCAGTTGGGTCAACACTCATTGATGCCGCATAATCACATGATTAACCTTGAGAATGATCAACATCAGATCGGGTTGATGGAGTTGAAAAGCTCTAACAATAGAGGATTCTCTATGAATTTTGGTAAAGGAAAGGCAGTTATCCCCGTTGATTCTGCACATAATGGAAGTTTGAGTGAAGAAGACGAATTTACAGAAGATGGAAATGGTGATAACAGTGTTAAGGCCAAGAAAGAGTCACCATGGCAGAGAATGAAATGGACGGATAATGTGGTTAGGCTTCTTATTGCTGTGGTTGCTTGTGTAGGTGATGATGGAACGCATGAGGGTGCGGAGGGGCTTAAGAGAAAATCTGGGATATTACAAAAGAAGGGCAAGTGGAAAACAGTGTCCAAGATTATGATTAGTAAGGGTTGTCATGTTTCACCTCAGCAATGTGAGGATAAGTTTAATGACTTGAACAAGAGGTACAAGAGATTGAATGATATACTTGGAAGAGGAACCACTTGTAGAGTGGTTGAGAACCCTTCTCTCATGGATTCTATGCCCAATCTCTCAGCCAAATCAAAGGATGATGTAAGAAAGATTTTGAGCTCAAAACACTTGTTTTACCAGGAAATGTGTGCTTACCATAATGGACAGAGGATACCAAATTGCCAAGATCTTGATCTGCAAGGATATTCTCTACCTCTTGAGAGATGCTCCAAGGACAATAATGATGGGTCGGATGAGGAAGAAGCTGTGGGAAACAATGACAGTGAGGATGATGATGAGATGGATAATGAAGAAGATGATAATGCTGATGGGGATGAAGAGAGGATTCATGACCTTGGTGAGAGGAGTAAGGGAACTAAAGAGGATGGCCATTTCTGGTCACCATCTTGTCAGTGGGATAATTTCAAGATAGAGATGGCAGGGATTTTTCAAGACCCAACAAAGTCATTATGGGAGCAAAAGGAGTGGGTTAAGAAACAAAAGTTACAACTTCAGGAGCAAAGAGTCAACTTGCAGGCAGAAGCTTTTGAGCTTGAAAAACAACGGCTTAAATGGATCAGATACTGCAACGGGAAAGACAGGGAGCTAGAGAGATTGAGGCTGGAAAATGAGAGTATGAGACTTGAGAATGAGCAAAGTATATTGCATTTGAAGCAGAAAGTATTCGAAATAGGTTTCACGAGGCCTGTTACAACCTTTGGACCTACTTCAGTTGGCACTGACAGACTGAAAGGCAGAGAATCTAGAGGTGAGATTGATTTAAGCAGGCATCAATAGCTCATTAAAGAGGTTTGCATTCTAAGTGTACTGTATGGCATCCCCTTCAATTCCCAAATGTGGTGAGCCTTGCATTGCTTAGAGTTAGCCTATGGCACAACCTATCTTTTATGCTATGTTAATAAAATAGAAACACGCTAACCTTGTGGAAGTTCTTATTTGCTTTATTTATCAACATTAGGGATGTATTATTTTTTGTTGCCACTTACTAATTTAAGAACCATCTTCCATACCAGAGTCCTCTTAATCTCCAACACTGTGACAACTCTCTCAAACCCCTTGTTGAAGACGCTTCATTGTGTTTTTTCCGTTAAGTTCTCACACGTTTGGCCACTGTGATATTTGTATTGACTTCATAAAATGGTGTCGATCAAGAGACAGTTTTGCAGTCAAGAGAAGGAAGACTGGGAGAGCAGACTGGTTGGCATAAAGCATGTACAATTAGTATTGGTATCCCTACTTAAATTCTCAAACTTGTATTCTCTTAAATTTTTTAGGCTATAAGATGTTCTATGAGAAAGATTATGTTCTAAATGTTCATGGTGTGCCAAGTCTTTTATATACTTGTCAGATGAAACAATTACACATTTGTTAGCTCTTCTTCTCTAGAACAGTACTTAACAGTCATGATCCAGAATAATGTGTGCATATTGGTGCTTATTCACACAGGAAATCTACTTCATAAATTCTCATCAAGATCTGTATTTGCCTGGTAGTATTTCAAATCCAGAATTGCAGGTCAGTCTCTCCCTAAGATAGAAAAAGATAAAAGGAAAGGAATGGTCCATACTGCACCAAACTAAAGAGGGCAAAAAGAGGAAGGAGAGGTTGTCATCAACCCATCCTTGGACCTCCATATTTGTGGCTTTTTTAAAATTGCAAACTCAGAATGATTTGTACCACTAGAACTTCTCGCTAAGGACCACCGAGGGGTTGGCACAAACTTAGAGGGCGCGTTTGGTTGGGTCAACACTTCCCAACTCTCCCCTTAAAAATTATTTTCGTATTTATACGCTATAATGCCATTTCATTTGTTTTAAAATATATAACTTTTTTATATATAATTTTAAGTAATCGTTTTGTGTAGTATATAAATAATAATTGAAAATTTGTTAATATATAGTTCTTGTGAAATAATTTTATTTAATAAAAAATTATTATTCATCTATTATAAAAAATTTGACTTAAAATTTTGCATAAAAAAGTTAAACTATTTATATTTTGAGACAGTAAAAAATCAAGATGTTTTGGCACTCAGAATGTCAATCACAATAATTGATTTCGTGGGTCTCAATTAGAAATCTATTTATTTGATGATTGTAATGAATATCTTGTTGTTAAGACGTCTTAATTTTAATATTTTTCTTATATTTTAAAATAAAAAAGGGTAAAATTGACCTCTTTGGTCTTTATTTTACCAAACATAAACAATCTTTTCTTTCTATATTTATAAATGAAAAAAAAACTTTCCCTCCAACTTTGTAACGTGGGATATGAAAATTTCAACAAACTTTCTTAATATTAAGTTCTTATCAAACACAAAAAATCTAATAAAATTTCAACAAAATTTTATTACATAATTCACAAACTTATGAAAATGTTTACAAAAAAACTCGTATTTGTTATCCATAAAAGAAAAACTTGTATTTGTCAAAAAAAGAGAAAATTCCAATTCATGGTTGGTATTAAAAAAATATACTCTTTGATTTATTATAGTTATGATTTTGAGCTTTTGATTTTTATTTTCAAAAGTTTAGAAATTCTAAATAAAATTAATAATTTTTATAAATTAATTAAGTTTATAATTTTAGGTATTAATTTTAAAATTTTATGCTCAATAAGTTATTAATTTTAATTTTTAATTTCAATTATTTGAATTTTAAAAACCAAAACTAATATCTAATAACAATCATACTAAAAAAATT